GAGCAGGGACCGAGTAATGGAAGCTCACCCCATCACAGGGGATTCAAACCGCTGACCTTCTGATCAGCAAGTCCTAGGCTCTGTGGATTAACCCACAGCGCCACCTGCATCCCTACCTTGGGTAGGTATCCCATGTTATTTAGACCCAAAGAAGGAAAGAATAGAATGTATCAGGGAGAAATGCTTTGTGTAGTACCTTACGCATGTTCAGTGGCTGTTTTACCTGGAGGAGCATTGAAAAAAATATTGCTATGTATGCCAGGGAATGCTGTGTTTCAGTGCAATGTTTTTGGACCTCTTGAGCTCCTGCCGTTTGCATACTGCAGAGCTCTGGGGATGGGTTTATTTTCCAGACTTGCTATGTATCCATAAAGAATATTTTTTTTTAACAGGCCTGCATCCTTCTAGAATATTATTATGCTACCTAAACACAAATGTAACCTTCCTGCTTGCTGCCTGTAGAGTTTAGATTCCAGCAGCTCATTCTCTCATTTCATTCTGGAGAATGACTCATTTCCAATTCGAAACAGCGTGCAAAAAAATTCCTAGGGCATTTGAAACAGGAGGGCCAAATTAGACATGTAATGAATGACCACTATATATATACTACTTAAAGTGGTGGATATATATATATATATGTATGTGCCAATAACAAGCATTGTTTTCGACTACAGTCCAGAATGGAGTTTAGCATCTGATCTCTATTTATATTCCCAAAGCTGCATTATCCAGTAGTCTGGCACCAGCAGTCTTCTCCAGCAAAGAAACAAAAAATATATATTCAATTTTTAATTGAATTGTAATGGTTTTCTTTCAGGTTCAGAGGACTGCCAAGTGCATTGCTTTCCCCAGTTACATGTAGTCAGTCAATACTAATAGGAAAGGGAACTTAAGAATTATTTCCAGGTCTGTATTCTACATTTTGAAGATATTGAGTATTCACATGGTGCTTGAAAAGCAATAATAAGTGACCCAATGCAGTGAGCATTCACTGGTGCGGGAATGAGGAACCTCTGAGCTGTGGGCCTTGAACCACCAGGTAGTCTGACATGGCTTGTGAGACCATTTCCCACATAATAATGCCGACCTGCCCATCAGTTGATATCAGCAGGATTGTCTGAAGGCCAAAGAGAGATTTGCAAGAGAGGGTGATGGAGGGGAAAGAGTCAGGATACAAATGGAATTAATGCTGTCCCACTGAGGGAAATTCGGAGAGGAAAAGTCACAGGATGGAAGGACTTGTGGCTGTCAGTCCTAGTGGCAAGACAGGGAGGGAGACTGGTGAGAAAAATAGGTAAGAGAGAAGACTGCACAACGGGAGTCAGGAGAAGAAACCATAAGAGAAGTCAGAGGAAGAAGCAAATACAAGACTGAGAAAGAGAAACAAGAGTGAAAAGACAGTCAGGGGAGATAACATTGCATGTAAAACAAAACAAACAAAGCAGAGTCCTGGGGTGAAAAGGAGTGACTGAACTTTTTGAGGATGTTCCCTACCAGAGGGCTCTCTGAGAACAAAGGATCACCTGGGATTCTGAAGACCCCTGGGAGCAGAAGCAAGGGGAGACCTGACATGTTCTTTGACATTTTTTAAACATAAGCTCAGTGGTGAATCTTTCTTCATTTATTTGATTAAGGGAAGCTTTACACCAGCAGATTTCACACCAAGCAGTTTTGCTGCAGTAAAAGGTAAAAGGTAAATGACCCCTGATGGGACGCGGGTGGCACTGTGGGTTAAACCACAGAGCCTAGGACTTGCCGATCAGAAGGTCGGCGGTTCGAATCCCTGCGACGGGGTGAGCTCCCGTTGCTCGGTCCCTGCTCCTGCCAACCTAGCAGTTCGAAAGCACGAAGTGCAAGCAGATAAATAGGTACCGCTCCGGCAGGAAGGTAAACGGCATTTCCGTGCACTGCTCTGGTTCGCCAGAAGTGGCTTAGTCATGGTGGCCACATGACCCGGAAGCTGTACGCCGGCTCCCTCGGCCAATAAAGCGAGATGAGCACCACAATCCCAGAGTCGGCCATGACTGGACCTAATGGTCAGGGGTCCCTTTACCTAAATGACCCCTGGATGGTTAAGTCCAGTCAAAGGCGACTATGGGGTGTGGCACTCATCTCACTTCAGGCCAAGGGAGCCGGCATTTGTCCACAGTCAGCTTTCCGGGTCATGTGGCCAGCATGACTAAACCGCTTCTGGCACAATGGAATGGAATGGAAGCCAGATTGTACGGAAACACCGTCTACCTTCCTACCACAGTGGTATCCATGTATCTACTCACGCTGGTTTGTTTTCAAACTGCTAGGTTGGCAGAAGCTGGGACAGAGCAACGGGAGGTTACCACCACCGAGCGGATTCGAACCATGAACCTTCGGATTGGCAAGCCCAAGAGGTTCAATGGTTTAGATCACAGCACCACCCAGATCCCTTTTTGCAGCAGTAATATCTGCGCTTCTTTCAGATAGCAGCTGGTGCTGTTTCATCATCTCAATGACTCAGGAGTGAGTTAGGCCTCGAAGATAGGCTGAGACTTTCATTGTTACAGTTGTTGCTGTTCTTTTCTTAGTTTTTCACCAGCCTGAGATTTTGTCCTGGATTTTCTGGACAGCTTTGAAACAAGTTCCCAGTTAAGCCCTAGAGTACCTCAGATTGCTTCTGCTGTTTCTGCAACACAATGTAGTGAGGAAATTATTTTACAGAAATTAAACACCAACTTGATGAGTGGGACTATGCAGACACTTGATTTTTGTTAATTCCTTGTAATGACCACAGACCTAATAAACTCATTAATCACCCATATGAGCAATATGTGTACCTGAACGATAAATTAATCTGTCAGTTTGTTTCTCTCATGTTCTTATTTTTCCAATACTAAATTCAGTTCTGCATCAGTCTGCGAATTTTTTCCAAGTCATCACGAACATTCATCTGCATCTTAGTGTGTGTTTCTTCAAATGTATGCATTTTTTTTAAAAAAAATTTACTTAATACACACAGTTTTGCAAGCATATTTGTACACCATGTTCATGAATATATACATTCCTATGCACATTTTATACATATTTTGGATGTTGGAGAACTGCATTGTGAAATTTCAAGAAGCGCAAATTTCAAAGGCTATCAGCATTTCAGCCTGGTTCCATGTGCAATTTAGTTCATAAACTGAATTAATTGTGGGCACATCGTATTTCATACAAATCTGCACAACCACATATGAACTACACCAACAAGCTATTTGACAATTTTCATTTGAAAGAAGCCTACAAGATTAATTCTGCAAGGTTCATCACTATTGCTCCCATTTCACAGATGAGGGGCTGAGGCAAAGAGAGAGGAAAGGTGCTTAGCCGAAGCCAGACTCGAGAAACCTGGTCCAGCTCTCTAGCCACTTGATAATTCTCAGTACAGTATTACCTTATAGGCTGTAGCAGCCAGTGGGCTGCATTACTCTCCTATCTCCCCAATGACATACCTCTTTGCTGCGTACTGACAGGGATAGGGCAGTGGAGAGCTTGACTTGGTATTGACGCAGCATCTGGAATCTTAGATTGGCTTGGTCATTGTGCCTGCACCATACTGACCTCCCCACAGCTTCAGTAAGTGGCAGCAATGCAGTATTGGGAAGACATGAGAGCAGCAAGGCCCCACCTATATAGCCCCATTGTTTGCTACTGCTTAATGTTGAAATAACAGAATACTCTAAAGCAAAGCATTTTTTGCTCTTCAGAAAAGTGTTTTGGGATTTCGATGACTCTGCAGCGACACCATAGGCAGCCAAATCGTGAATTGTGACACGATTCAATAAACCAAAACATGATTTGCTTCTGTTTCCTCTGAACAATGTCAATTTGTAAGAAAATCCTCAACACATTGTCTGACAATTCCAAGGAATACAGTCCCTCAAATCTGTGAGTAATTTCTCTCTCTCGGTCTCCCATTTTTTAATATGGTTTCAACAGCTGAAACAATAATTGCCTGATTATCACAAAAATCTCTTGCAACGGCCTCCTGACAATTCTAAAAGCACACTTGTCAATTGTAAATGCACACTCTGCCGGCAGAGAAAAGGAATAAGCATCCTTGCACACGTTCAATTCATTTTACTTTATCATCTGCTCACTGAAAGAGGCTGCCAAATCGGAACAAATTTCATTTATTTAGTTGGAGAAGTGCTCCTTTTTTTTAAGCCAGTAGTGGCAACCCTTTTGGAGTCAGGATAAAAAAAATAAAATACTTCAGTTTCACTCTGAAGAGTGTTTCTGTGAACCTGGAGTCTTGAGTTCACACCAAAGAGATTCCTTCCACGCCTCTCTTCAGATCCCATGGCTGCTGCTATATTACAGCAGAAAGAATGGGTTCCTTTGCCTAAGAACTGGTCTGATTTTGTGCATAGCAGCAATGTAGGAAATGAGAGTGTAGTAGCAGAATCTAGATACTACTGCCATGTGAGGCTTATGTTAGAATTCCTGCTCCGTGATTGTAGTCATGGGATTGTTGTCTATACATGATGTTGTATGTTTTGACTCCACAGAGTGGGAAGTGACGAAGACAGGATGTTTGTGTTACTGTGTTCTGTGAAGTGGGACTATTGTCCTTTGTTCTTTTTCTCTTTGCTGTCTGATGTTAGAGAGGGAGGCAGCCATGTTGCAGTGCTCCGTGTGTGTTTATATGTAAATAAAATAAATGAGCCAAAATGCTGAGTTACTGAGGTCTGTCGTGTGAACTGCGCAGACTCTGCAGATCCCTAAGTGTGCCGGTGTCTGTTGGCTTCGGTCGCTGTGATGTTTGGGCTGAAGAAAGCTAATGAAGCTCCCGAACGAAAGACCAGGAGGGAGACAACATGCCAGTCGGTCATGTGTCTCTGCCAGGGTCCTACTTGAGTGTAGGCTGAGCTCCTAACAGCTTATACATTTGTTGCATGCCACCCAAACTCCACCTACGATGGAGGGGTTCCTAGCATTACATTCCAAGAGGGCCTTGCTTGTTCCATAAGTGCAGCCCTATCTGGAGATGCCAAGGATTGAATCTGGGATTTTCTGCATGCAAAGAAGTTGCTCTACCACTGAGCTACATCCCATTGCAAAATAAAGGCTCTTTACTCGGTTTATATAGATGGAAGCAGAATGCCAGCTAACTACAAATGCATGCAGTCCCGATTCCATTCATGTTTGCACAGGCATTAATTCCAGGGAGCTCAGTGTTACTTACTCTTGGATAAATGTGCATAAGGCGGCAGCTGAAGTTGCTGAGGCATAGTTTTAATCCCATAAGTAATCTTGCAATATGAACTAACACAAGGTCAAAGAATCAATCATTGTTATGTATAGCATGGGTGTTTCTCTCTCTCTCTCCCCTCCCCCCCCCCCAGTACTTTCCAGAGGATGTACATCTAAAATCACCTTTTAATGGCTGGTGGATGAAAAAGACTTTCTTAAAAATAAAAATAAATAAATAAAATAACCCTTAAAGTTTAGAGTTGGGTGGAAATAAAGCCAAGACAACAGAATGTGCAAATCCAAAATACAATAATTTCCGGGAAGAAATCTCCAAAGCCCCATAAGAATTTTGATTACCATGAATTATTGCAAAAGCTAGCATTCACTAATCTGTTCCTGTAAACATGAGCAATGGTTTCCATTGTCATTTTCTAACAAACAAGAAACTATCATGATTTTGGGGTAAGTGCTTGGAATTAGTTTTAGTGCGGTCCAAAACAGAGCAAGAGAACAGTGATGGATGTATCGAAGCTAGGGTTGCAAGATCACATTCTCACAACTAATTTTCAACCATGCGTATTGAAATGCATCAAACCTGCATTTCAGTGTGTCATGGCTAGAGAGTAGCAAATGGTTTAAGTAGGGAGTCCAGCAAGCAGAGGCTGTCTGTGTGCATCTGACTGACAAATTTCTCAGTCTGAGGAATCAAGGCAGAGTATCCAGCTTTGCAGGGCTGGGTAGGAATTTACTGACACTTTGTATCACCTGTTTGCTGCTGGATTGAGAGTTGAGGGTTTTGGAAATTTGGTTAAAGAATAAAGGAGAGTTCCTTGCATGCCTACACCCAGGTTTGGTGCAAGTACTCCTTGGTGAGAGAGCCGCAGCAGATATTTTAAATCTCAAAACATCCAGCAAAGCATGAAAATATAGGATATTAGAGCTTTAAAATGTCCCCTTCTAAGTCACTTCCAAAGTTACCTACTTCCCTTAGCATAGAAAAAGATGACACATTTGATAAGTTAAAAATGGTTTATGTACAAACTCTTCTATGCTTCTCCATACAGTAACAAGAAAAGACAGGCACTACAACTTAGTTTCAAAAATGGTAAGAGTTTCTGAATTATTTGTATAGAAGCACAAAGATGGCTTGGTAAAGCCACACTGTCTAAGTTTGAAGCATCCAGCTCAGACATGCTTCTGGAAGGTTTCACATGGTGGCAAGATGGTGGGAGAACAAAGAGTTTGGTAGCCCTCCCTCCCTTGGGGGGGGAGTGGGAGTGAGGGGGAGTGACCTATTTAAGCCTGGCAGGACAGCTTTCTCTATGGTCTTAACCCCTTCAGGAATCAATTGGGGTTAAGCATGTGGGTTATATGACACCCATTTGTCTTGGGAGAGTGTGCCTTCGATGGTGAACTCCAATTGTTGGAAAGTTACAGTGCCTGCTCCACAGCACTGTAGAGACCGATATGGGAGACATACTTTTACTTTCAGCTGGGGCAGACAAAGGCATTTGGTTGTGCTGATACAGGTGTATGATGGAATTTCTTCTTCCTGCACTCCTCCCAGGGATCATTCAGCCTCTGGTCACTGCTATAGATGCATGACTTGACGGCCTGTCTCCAGATACTTCTGGTTGTCTGCAAGGGATTCCCACATGGCGGGGTTAATATTGCCAGCCTTCATGTCACATTAGCAGACATCTTTGTAACTGTAACACAGAGTTGGTCTGCCAGTGGATCTAGTAGCTGAAGCCAGCTGCCTAGAGAGCATGTCCTTGGGGATCCTGCCATCTTCCATTCTGTGGACATGACCAAAGCAGCATAGGCATCACTGAGACAGGCGCAAACATGCTGGGAATGTGGGCTTGGGTGAGCACATCTTTGTTGGAGAGGCTACTGCAACAGTGTGATGCTACAACACAGCTGAGATGATCAGACCTACAGTTCCTTCGACCTGCAAGTGGTCAAGGCCACACAAGGCACAAGGTAACTCGGCCCCAGCACCAGAGTCTCGTTTACAATCCCCCGTAGTTTACAGAACGGTGAAACCACACATAAGCATGGCTGGATTGCCTTTCCATGTTAACAGTTCCTGGATGTATTTCAAGAGAGCCTTTTTATGAAGGGGATTTCTTTCAATGATTCTTGAAAGTTGTTAGGGGCAACGTCTCTTCCAACCTGCGCAGACTTAACTGAGTTGCAGGGAAAGCTGGCCAAAACAATTGTTTCAAGAAGTAGTGGAGGAAATTTCCCCGATAAAGAGAATTTCTGAAAATGCACCTGGAACCCAAGCACTTGCACAACTTCATTTCCCCGCCCCATCTTCAGAACCCTCCCCGTCACACACACACACACACACACACACACACACACACACCTGTTTTTGATCCTCTCTTGTCTGGAATAGTAATGTCTCTCTACCTTTCGCACCCAAGCCTTTTGAGAGCATCGGCAGATCTGTTTGGAATGCGTGCAGTTTAATCTGTCTAGTAAATGCAGGGAAGACAGGCTGGCATCGCTCCAACTTACCTGTCATTAATTCTACCAGGGCTGTGTGAGATTTGCGAAGTGGGGAGAAACGTTCACGCTGGCACCATCTGTATCGGCTGTGAATTCACTCTTCAGAAATGGCTAATGCATCTGAATTGTTCTCAGTGTTGACCTCACATATAGTTTGGTTCACCTGGAGTTCCTTGGCCTTCCTCTGTCTCTCTGTTCCACTTTGCTGGGAGTAGGGCAGGGGGGACCAGTCAGAAATTTGTCTTAATTAGATAGCTGGGGAAATTCTTTGCCACAGGGAAATCTACAGGTGGCATAAGGCTGGGGTGACCCTTCATGTTCCCGATGCTTCCTGCATAAATCCTTTATGTCTCACATTTTGTAAGACAGAAGTTAATGTGTTTTAGAATTGCAGAACAAAAGGATTATTAACCAGATCACTGAGTAGGAGATGACGCCCACATAAAAAAAGTGCAAACATAAATTAAAATTCTCCTGGGCCATCTTCTGCTTTTACATAGTGATTTTGGTTGATTGCCACCAGAGAAGTACTTGTTAAAAAATTCTGAACAATGCTAAATAAGAAATCAGAAGAAAAGCAGCCAATCCAGGGATAGGCAACTTCTTCAGTAAACCACCTCACAAGGCTGTTGTGTGGGCCACATGAGTAACAACCCCCTCCCCCGAAAGGTCCTGGGGGGGCGGGAAATGACATGCCATAAGGTCAGAATTGTTGAATTTCTCAACCTGTCTGAATTATGTATATTAAGCAGATTTGCACTGAGTGTCAACAAGGCTATAGACAGATGTGAGCCAGCTGACACGGTGTACTTGGACTTTGAAAACTGTTCAACAATTACCTCACCAAAGACTCTTAGTAAGCTTAGCTGTGCTATTTTTCTAGAAAAAGAGTTGCTGGAACTCACCATGAACACCTTCCTTGTTCTTTTATACCTACCTGAGAGGTACCAGAACTAAGTTCTGGTGAGTTCTGGCTGGAGGAAAAGAAAAAGCCCTGGAAAAGATGAATAAGAGAGTTGACACAATTGAAGTGTTTGCATTGTAAGGAGAAAACAAATAAGATTTTTTTCTTATTCCTTTCCTATGCAGGAGAACTGCATCATCCAAGGATGATGAATGTTAGAAGATTCAGCACAGACCAAAGGAAGTAGTTATTCACACAACACATAGCTAAACTATGGAATTAGCTTGCATAGAAGGAGTGATGGCCAACAACTTGGATGGCTTTTAAAAAAAGCATTAGACAGATTCATAAAGGTTGAGAAAATCAGCAACCACTAACCAGATCTCCTGTGCTTTTAGGTACCAGTTGTGGAAATTGCAGGAGAAAAGAGTGCTCTTGCACCGAGGTCCTGCTTTTGAGCATCCTCTAGGCATCTGGTTGGCCATGGTGAGAATAGGACCATGGACCAGATGGGCCACTGGTCTGATGCAGCAGGCTTTTCTTGTTGTTGTTCTTTAGTTGTTTAATCGTGTCCGACTCTTCGTGACCCCATGGACCAGAGCACACCAGGCACGTCTGTCTTCCACTGCCTCCTGCAGCTTGGTCAAACTCATGTTGGTAGCTTAGAGGACACTGTCCAACCATCTCGTCCTCTGTCGTCCCCTTCTCCTTGTGCCCTTCATCTTTCCCAACATCAGGGTCTTTTCCAGGGAGTCTTCTCTTCTCATGAGGTGGCCAAAGTATTGGAGCCTCAGCTTCAGGATCTGTCCTTCCAGTGAGCACTCAGGGCTGATTTCCTTAAGAATTGATAGGTTTGATCTTCTTGCAGTCCATGGGACTCTCAAGAGTCTCCTCCAGCACCATAATTCAAAAGCATCAATTCTTCGGCGATCAGCTTTCTTTATGGTCCAGCTTTCACTTCCATACATCACTACTGGGAAAACCATAGCTTTTACTATACAGACCTTTGTTGGCAAAGTGATGTCTCTACTTTTTAAGATGCTGTCTAGGTTTGTCATTGCTTTTCTCCCAAGGAGCAGGCGTCTTTTAATTTCGTGACTGCTGTCACCATCTGCAGTGATCATGGAGCCCAAGAAAGTAAAATCTGTCACTGCCTCCATTTCTTCCCCTTCTATTTGCCAGGAGGTAATGGGCCCAGTGGCCATGATCTTTGTTTTTTTGATGTTGAGCTTCAAACCATATTTTGCACTTACCTCTTATGTTCTTAAATTCTTCTGTGACCCACAGGCTAGAAAAGTTTCCCTACCCCTCTGTTACATCATAGCAACTTTCCGGTTATCACTGTTGTAAGGCAACTGACAACATTTATGCTTGCCCCCACCCCACCCCACCCCACCCAACCCACCCATTGCTTCTTTTTCCTCTCACACAGAGAA